TCGTCCCTGCTTCCTCACCTCGACCCGCACCAGCGATCGCGGCTTTGGTTTCGATGGTTGGTAGTGCGCGTGTGGCTTTTGTCCCCTGTGTATTTTTCGGTGGCAGGGGGCCGTGCGTGCATGCGAGGCCGCCTGCGTTTCCTTCGGTGTTAATAAAATGGAGTCTGCAGGTCGTTTGGAAAGTGTCTTTGCCCACTGGGGGTGGGGATGGGGGTCGTTTGTGCGTGACCTGAGCGCGGTGGTGTGGCACCATTGCATCCCTCAATTTTTTTTTTGATCGCTATTGCGATGCAGTACAGTGTACTGTACAACCCTTTCCCCTAAACCCAACATTATCTCATTACATTGGGGTGGTTTTTTGTACTGTAATGTTTCGGTTTCCTGTCTGTTGCGGTGTAACGGCGAGTGTCCGGCCACCTTGCCTCCAACTGGTGATGGCACGTGTCCAAAGTTTGGACTCCAAACACCTTTAATCTTTAATCGCCTCTATCTTGGGTATCCTGGGTTACTGGCTAGTCACCAATCACGCTTCCTCCGCGTTTTGCGTCTTGCACCTTGTGCTCATGAAGAATCGGGGCACACGACCTCGTCATGGGCGGATACAGCGCTGAAATGCAGTTTAGCGTTTCCCTCCAAGGCTGGGCTCGGGAATCTGAAAAGTAGTCGAGCACTATTCCGGACGCAAAAAGCCGGGAGAGAGTAAATATCTCTCCCGGCAGATGTGAAAGGAGTTGCAACCTTAAGTTTTGAACACAAATATACGGGTAGATGTCAAAGGCCCCTCTAATTTATTCCTGATCATCGCCTATGTGCCACAAAGTCTGACAACTGCAGAGAGTGATCAAGCCAATCATCACCCCCAGAGCTCATACTATTTTGTAAATGAAAACATGTATCAACATGCTTTTGCGCAGATTTCGCCCCATCTTCCTTTGCCATCAATACCATTGTTTCTTAAACTTATGTTGCCGCTGCTTGCAACCTGCTCTTCTTCGACCCCTTCCCTTGTATATTTCCTTCCGCATTTACGTTTTGTAAATTTGGTTCTCAAATCAATGGCCGTCTGCCCGTCCAGGCTTGCGTCTTTATGCCACAAGGTATGGGACAAACATTTCTTGTTAAAAACCTACCCATTACTGCAATGCTGTTCTGCCGCGTTATGCTTTCAGCCGACGTGGATTGCGCATCCATTTATTATGTGGTGGCGCTACTACGTCTGCGAGCAATCGCCATACAGTATTATTGTGAGGTACAACTCGCTGAAGTATGAAAATATCATACTAGAGAGCGCAGGTGAAGATTCATCAAGTTAGCTCTGCAGCAAGACACAATCGGATTTTCATGGGGAAGGTTTCGAATGCTCTTCCTGAAGTTTAAACGATAAATAAAAACTATACAACACAATCGTGGAGCATCTGGTAGTCGTCTCACTTTTCTCTCTCGACCAGGCAATTGTTCTCATCATACAAAGTTTAACGACGATTTTGAATATAGAACTTCCATAGATCCAGTAAGTATTGCGAAAGGAGAAGAATGCAAACCGGCTTCTTGGAGGAACGTAAGAGCAACCTTTGAAGGTATGCTATTGAAGGTCATTTCATACTAGTGAAGACTAAGAGCACCCCCATCGGTGCTGTGTATATGTAAATATTTGGCATATAGAGATACATATAGCCTCTTTCATCCCTATCGGACTGGTTATCTCCAAAAATTTGGCCTTTTTGGCTATATCTATCTCTATATTGGAAGCCGGATGGCGACAAATTTACTCATTTGACCATATAGAGACGCGAATTACATGGCGCCACTTGGCCAAAAGACCATAGAACAGTGTCAATACAGTACCTCTCGTACTCGATGCCCCGCACCCCTCGTACACTATGCCCTATCAGGGCACTTCAATTTCAAATTTACTCCTAAACCGATAGTGTTGCGCACAGAAATGCTATATGCAAACGCAAAATTTTACACATTTAGCCACCAAATTTAGCCAAACCGATAGGGGTGCTCTAAGGGCTTGCAAGGTCCCGTGGGGCCAAAAGGATGATACCCTGAACATGAAAGAGTACAAAAAATATGCATCTCATACTTTTTTTTTGAATTGATGAAAACATATGTATTCCCGTGGATACCGGATGGCATCCAAAAATAATATATATTTTCGTCATTATTAAAAAAATCTGGTACCTTTCGGACCGCCTCGCAGACAGCTCTGGGTTGATTTCTATCTCACTTTCTGACCACTGCTGCGGTGGCGCGGCTCTTCGTCCTACAAAGTCCGTTTACCACCGTGAACTCATGCTTGTGTTGTCACCGAAAGACAAATATTCACCCAGGGATTGGGGGTTGCACCTGCATTACCTGGAAGCTTCAGTCGTTTCCTGTCAATTCTGGCCAGACTTTCTCGCACGCCTGCCAGTCGCCTCGTGATCCACCTGAAATTGGACGTTCGTCAAAATGTCAATCTGACACCGATATCGCGGAACTCTCCCGAAACGCATCATCTCAACGCCAGATGATTGGCGAGATGCAAAGTCAAAGTGCACCAGGCACTGATGCGATGAAATCAGAACTTGATACTGCGATGACTGGGTCCGCAGAGGGTGGTGATGCCAAGACTGTACCGCCCGGAGCAACTTATTACGAGGACAGGCCTGGCGCGAAAGGCAAACTCGATCATGAGAAAAGTGATGGAGCCGAGGAGGTGGGAAAACCACGGGTTGCAAAGGCCGACTCTGACATAGCAAACCATGTTTCGAAATTGCAACAACAGACTGCTAAGTCACAGAGTATTGTTGGAACTGAGCCTCCTGATGAACTATCTATCGCCCAGAAGTCGGGGGCCGACACTACCATTGATAAAAACGATGAAAAGAACGATAAGAAGGCTCCTGCGAACGATACCGGCGGAGCAGAAGACAGAACAGATGGTCCACAGCCTGAACATACTCTGGAAGTCAAGGAAGGATCTGAGGATGATCAGTTGAATGGACCTACAGGTACTGATTCTGACGAGGATCCTTTTGCGGGCCTCAATGAGTTGGCAAGCATGGACATTTACGATCTGTCAAACTACACTTTCGGGAAAAAGAACCAAGAGAGTAAGTCAAAAGTCATGCAGCTGATGCCGAGGGCCGAAATGGCAAAGGTGTTGGAGAAGAACTATGAAGAACGAGGCATGCGACGGTCGGTAGGTGGTGTCATTCTTGTTCATTCACACAACTTTCCCCACATATTACTTCTTCAAAGAAGTGACGGAAAGGGCGAGTACGCCTTACCTGGCGGAAAGTTGCGACCTGGTGAGAGCGATGAAGAGGGCTTGCAGCGCAAGCTAAACACGAAGCTCAAGCCAGAAGGTCAAGCAGACACAGATGAAGAACAAGAACTAGACGTCGGAGAAAGAAGTACGATACCGTTTCACTCATCCTTACTAAAGCCTTTATTTTTGACCGGGTGTTTGCTCGCCAGTCACCAATTGGGTTCACCATTGCTAACCACGAGTTTGTTTTCTGCGCGCGATTGTTTCATTCTCGCATTTGCAGTTTGCAACTGGTATGCCACCGACTTTCACAGGAGATATTACCCCTATGTCCCAGCACATGTCACAAAGGTCAAGGAGGAACTGCATGTTTATATTGTATTACTGCCCAACAAGTTCATGTTTTCCGTACCCAAAAACTTGCAGCTTGTAGCGGTTCCGCTCTTTGAGCTTTTCAAAAATTCAGCCACCTACGGAGATGTGATAAGCGCCATTCCGCCGCTGCTGTCTCGATGGCATATTAACTACTGCTAGCGTTGCTACATACTTTGGTGTAGTAAACAAGCATTGTATATATCACTCTGAATTGTCGTTGCGTTAGAAGAACATCGCAGCATGCAGTGAATCTGCTAGCAGTTTGCAGATGTACCGAAGATCTGAGGCATTGCCATACAGGTTGGTGCAGAACGCGAAAATGGAGATGTCGGTTCCTTTAACTAATTTGGAATGCTTGTTAATGCATGTTTATGTATGTGTGTGTGCTGCAAGTGCAGGGACGTTTACGCAATGAATTTGGCACGGAGCATACGTCACTCGCAGACCCTTGGAGCGGAGCACCGGTGTGTGATTCTCACTTTTACACTACGAACTATCCCATGCGTACTATGTTAGGTGGATTGCATTTCGTTCGACTCTTTGTCAAACTAACTGTTCACGACCTTTTTGGTCAACTAATAACTCTAATGGTAAGTATTCACAAAACTAGGTTGATTCTTCTTCGTTTTTCGACTTGATGCCATCGATTTCTATCTCAGTCGGAAGAACCTGGTGGCCTTCCTGGAGGGCGCGGAGTGACGGTTCGTCGATCTCTTCACTGGAAGCTGCGGCTCGGTTGTGAGATCGAGACTGCGTAAGCGGGAAGTATTCGTCACTCTCATGTGGCCCTATGCGGGCAGCGCTCTCTACTTCTTCACATGTCTTTATCCGCTCAATGATGCATCCCAAATGGTATGAGTCTTGGACAAGTACTTCGAAGGCAAGCGTTGCTACCAGCGTGTCCGGGTCTGTCAGTGTTACAGCTCGCCTTATTGAAGTACCCATGCTGGCAAGCACTCCAGCAACGTACGAAAGAAGACCGTCACAGTCTCTTGCAACTACCAACACCCTTACCGGTTGGGACGGCTTGATACCCTCCAAAGACCCTCCAGCACTATTGCGTTCGCTGGTTGTCTTCAAAGTACTTCTGTCCTCTAGCTCAAGGGCGACGCGGCTGCTTTCCTTTTGCTTCTTAAACTCTTGGGTCCACCGCAAGTTCACAAGGCTTGGGTTGGCTGGTTGTTTCTTCAGTTCATCGGTGACGTGGGCACATCGGGCTCGGTGAACAATTATGGCGTCACTTTCTCCGCAATTTACATGAATTCCAAGAATGTCATCCCCTCGAATCGGGTGGCAGCATGGCGCAAGAACTATTTCCCGTTCGTTAGTACTGCCTCGCGCTTTCTTTGGTTTGCCCTCCCAAACTCTTTTTGCCCTGGCCTTCTGCGCGGGGGACTGTTGCTGGTGGCTCACAGAAGCTGCCTCAGAGAGGACCGTGTGTCTTCGATCTCGCAAGAGTCCAAGGACAGTCCGTCCCAGCGGAAATTCAGATTGCTCTTCACTTCCCTTGGCAATTGCGATACACAGACTGTCCACTGTTGCAATGTTCTTCATTCCGGTAGCCGCTGTTACAATGGCAGAAAGGCGAGGCAATATGTCTGTTAAGGCCGCCTCTGATGGGATAGGTTCAAGCAATGACCGCGCTTCCTCCTCAAGTATTCTACGTCCTCGGTCCAGCATGTTGTCACGATCTCTCGCACGAAGAAATTGTCGAATCTTTTGCCGTGCTGTTCGTGACTTCGTGAATCCAATCCACTCTGACGAGGGCCCCGCAGATGAATTCGAACCAATGATTTTCACGACATCTGCGTTCTGCAGCTTGTAGTCCAGTTTGACTAGCCGACCGTTGACCTTGGCGCCGATCATCTTGTTACCCACATCTGAATGGATCGTGTATGCAACGTCTATTGGCGTTGAGTCCTTCGGCAAATCCACAATGCGGCCTTTCGGTGTGAAAACAAAGACGCGATTGCCGAGCAAGTCTCTCCTTACAGCATCGACAAGGTCCCGGGAAGAAGAAAATTCTTCGATATACTCACGTATGCTGATGAGCCAGCCCTTTGTGCGCCGCCGCCATTCACCGTCGAGGCCTATAGCGTTGTCGTCCTGTTCCTCATCCTGTGTGAGCGGAATTGCTTTCGATACTGATCCAGACTGGAATATTTCCGCTGCTATGCCTTCTTCGGCTATGCGATGCATTTCTGCTGTTCGAATTTGGATTTCCATGGCTAAGAAATCGAACTTTTGGCCAAGCAGTACCGTAGTGTGTAAACTCTGGTACCCGTTAGGCTTCGGAAAAGCTATATAATCTTTCAATCTCTTCGGGAGAGGTTTCCACATGGTGTGAATACGTCCGAGAACATGATAGCAAGCTTGGTTACAGTCCACCCCTGGGTCCAAGTCTACAACTACGCGCATTGTAGCAATGTCTAGCATTGAAGCTAGATTTTCGCCTGCGAGCATTCTCCGATAGATTGAGTAGAGTTCCTTTGTGCTTCCGATGACTTCTACCGATCGAATCATGTTGTATAAAATGCGATCCTGCTCAAGAACATCCTTCACAACAGCTTCAGCTGATTTGAGGTAGTAGTCGAATCTTGACCTTCGCAGCATCGTCTCAACCTCATATTTGAGTTGGTGGTATTCTTCGGGATACAGATACATAAAACTCAGCTCTTCAAGTTCGCTCTTAATTCGCCGCATTCCCAGTCGATGCGCCAGAGGTGCGAAAAACTCAAGCGTCTCTTTGGAAATCTTCTTCTGCTTTGCAGGGCTCATGTGCTTTAGAGTTCGCATATTGTGCAATCTGTCAGCCAGTTTGACAATAATAACGCGGACATCCTCAGTCATAGCCAAAAACATAGCTCGCAAGTTATCTGCTTGTTTTTGCTGCTCTTCTTCCCGTTTTTGGCGTTCTTTCTGCCATGCCGAAAGACGTGTGGTGCGTGTCTCTTCTTCCTCCGCCAGAAAGTCTGTGGCATTGGCCGAGAGAAGAGACGTCCATGGGTTGTCGCGTTCGCCAACGCCGTTGTGCATTCCTTCCCGTGGTATATCGCTTTTCACCTCCTCTGTGCGACTGGCTTTGTCACCATGGACTTTCTTCGCAAGCTTACTAAATTTGGTTTCGCCCTCAACAATCTTCCTGACGTCCCTGCCAAAAAGGCACTCAAGCTCCTCGAGAGTGATTGGCGTATCCTCAACTGTGTCATGCAAGAGCCCAGCAATAATGCAGTCTCTGTCCATACGCATGTCGGCGAGTATGGCGGCGACGGCAATCGGGTGAATAATAAAGGGCTCGCCACTCTTCCGCTTCTGGCCTTTGTGGGCAACGTTGGCAACTTCCAATGCCGAGAGAACGCACTCGCGAGCTCGCGGCTCGAGATAGTCGAGCTTGGGCCTGAGGTCGTTCATGTATCGCTTGAGAGAAGCGACCGACGCGAGCGCATGTCTGCCATTAAGATTGAGGGCGACTGACGTGACAAGGGCTTGCCGTGACCCCAACGACGGGGCCTTGGAGCGCGGTTGTGGTGATGGGCTGTGCGGAGGCGCGGACCAGGATGAAGATGAAGGAGAAGCGGACGATGAAGCAACGGATGAGGGGGCAGGCGGGGCGGAGAGGTCAGGATCTTCTTCTGAAGATGCAGCTGCAGCATGAAAGCGAGGCCGCGCGCGGCGAGTAGTGACAGGGCACAGTGGCCTTCCTGTATGAAATGTTGGGCGCGTCGGGGTTAGCAAGGGGCGGCGGGAGGAGGAGGAAGTCGCCGAGCATCCGCAGCCAAAGGCGGCGAAGGGCGCAGGGGCCATGAAGTGCTGTGGGAAGCCGTTTGAGGGGGCGGTGTCGCTGATGGCGTAGGAAATGGGAAGGGATTTTTAGCTCGCGAGTGGGAACATGAAAGATGGTGTGGCGGTGGGGGTGGAGGGGGGGCCGGGGGAATAGGATTAGTGAGATATTTCTGTCTTCCGACGAACAAGGTCAGGGCAGGAAGCGGTCCTCATAAGATAAGATGCGCACTTGTACGAGAGGCGTAAGGGGAGACGGTGGTGGCGGAGGGGGCCCGCGGGCGCACAGGTTGAGTCGTGGTTGGAGCCGGTCCAGGACGCTGCACGGCGCGTTGAGGTGATATGCAATCCCGCGACGGAGTGGACCGTTCGGGTTTGCAGACGGTATTGTGTTGCAGAGAGAGGCCATACGGGCCACCGCGCACCCCGATCCAGGATCCACACGGCCTTGTGCAGATATCGCCCTGCCTGATCATACTGCCCGCTTATGTCCATAATTTATGCAAATTTAGCGCCTCTTCTACGGTACAGCTGCAACATCGGCACCGGTTCATCTCCATGACTCGCAGGATACAGGTCACCCTGGCGGTGGACGCGGTGGACGCGCGAAATCGCGTGTTTTTTATTTGCACAAATCTGCACAATCACCTCGTCGGTGTATCTCAGGGGGACTCGTGCATTTGTTTGCAGCCTTTCCGCCTTCCTCCGCCGCATCTCGGCCCCACTAATTCACAGCTCCTTTCCTTTCTGCCGTCCCTGCCAACGGCGGTGGCTTTATCCGGTTGGCCAGCCCCGCATGGCGCGTGTCCCTCCTATCCAACCGCGCCCCCCCCCCCCCCGCGAAAAAAAACCCCCCCCCCCCCCCCCCCCCCCCCCCCCGCCACCCCGCGACCAGAAACAGCCACTGTAAGAGGGCACATGCGCCCAGTTCCGCCGCCTAGAAGATTCTTTGCCGGCCCCCCGTCCGCATATGCTCTGCAAATCTGTGTCTGCATTCTGTCCTTCCTACTGGAAAGCCTGCCCTGCTCGTTACACATTACACCTTGTCATGGGTTTTCCTTACTGCCCTCGTCCGGTCGAGCGGTGCCCGTTCGTTTCCGGCAACTGATCTTTGGCAGCTAATTCCACTTATTCACCATGAGACTACTGCTTTCACTTGTAACTTAAACAAGAGATGCAAACCGAGATGAGAGGCATGAGGCTCCGCGCCGAGAACACTTTTGCAACTTTTTTGAGTGTAAAATCTTTCCCTGTACCTGTGGGGAAGTCGTCGAGACGACTCGTGTCGCCAGCTTTGCCCACTGTCCCACTGTACCACGGATTCTTTGACTTACAACGGCTGCAGGACGACACGTCAGGAGGAATTCATATGTCCTCGGAAGTACAGTACCCACGCACATGGCCCGGTGACAGACAATTCTCCCCTTGGCGCCAAACAAACACAACAACTACGACATGCAATCATCGGCCGGCAATACTTCTACTCCTTCGCCTTGGACTTCTGCTCACACTTCGCCCGAAGGCTTTCTGCCCATCCCGTGGATCTCGGAGGTATGAAAGCCGACTGCCCCGCCTGGGCATGGCCTCGCTCCCCGGTTCCACTTTTTTGGACCAGTCTGGGACAGGAAAGATCTCAACAATTTGCAGATTGCAGAGTATATTTTGAAGCCTGCCAATCAAATCGCATGCATGTCAGTGTGCCTGTACAGTCTTCGTGCCTCTGTCATATCTGCAACGCTGGTACTGTAGCAATGCGTACACTGTACAAGCAACAATATTTCCATTCCCACGGAAATATTTTTTTCTACTTTTTTGTGCTCCAAGTAAATTCCTCCTTTTTCAACTGCACCGAATTTTCGCGCCAAACAAGCTAATTCGGAACTCTTGTCCATCCCGACACAACCCCTGGCGCCGGAGACCAGGCCACTCCGTCGAGGTCGCCCACACTGTCTCTGTCTTCGTCAAGGCCCCTTCGCCCCTTCCCCAAACGCCCTCCGACCACCGAAACCTGTCAACATGGCGACCACCTTCACTACGTCGTCCACGCCAAACCTCTCATCGTCACTCCCCGCATCCTCGACCAGTACACTCGCCACCAAGTCCGTCAAGTCTATCCGCGCGAAGGCGAATAAGCGCCCCAAGTTAACTGTCAAGGATGTCACCACCGAGACTGCCATCAACTCAGCCCTTTCCGTTGGCCGCCGCATTGCCGCTCGCGGCCTTCCAGAAGCCGGACAAGAAGGCGTCGCACTACGCTCGTTCTTGGCCAAGATGACAAATTGGGCTGCGGATGTCGCACCGGAATACAGCATCGGCGAGTTCGTCGTCGCCGCGCAAGGCCTGGCGGGGAACCGTGAGCTGAAGACGGTCATGGGCAATTTCAGACTGGCCGAACTGCGACAGGTAACGGGTGGGTGGGAGGAGCTGCAGGAGAAAAAGAAGCTCAATAGGAGGAAACGGAAGAAGATTAACGACGACGATGAGGACGAGGAAGTGGAGGGGGCTGTTGAGAAACAGCGTGGGGATGTGAATAATGCTCCGAAAGATATTGACGGGGATCAGGAAACATCTCCGAAAAACGATGTCAACGCGTTGATGAATGATCCAGAAGTTAAGAAGCGCATTGAGATGAACAGGAAATTGGCCATGGAGCGTCGTCGCCAAGCAGCTATTCGAGCTGGACAAGCAAAGCCTGCTGCTGCCGAGGGACCGGAAGATGATTTTATTGATCCCAATGATTGCATTGATCAGGAGGACATCGACATGGATGTTCTCGATGACATGAATCAGTGGCATGATTCCCAGGACTCCGGAAACAATCGCCCGCAAGCTGTACGAATTCCTGACAAAAGAGTTGATGATTTCAACAGGGCAGATGCAATGGTGCAGATGAAGGCTAGTGGCAGCCAGGTTGAAGAGAATCAGACAGCGATGGATTCAGTTCCACAAACATCGGAGCAGGGTGATGGGCCCGGGAAGCCCGTGACTAAGAAGCAAACATCAGATGGGAACGAAAAAGAGCACCTGAGATAGAGATCAAAGCTTAGGATGAGGCAAAATCAAGGAACTAGTTGTTACACAAGCAATGTTGTGTAACAACTAGTTCCTTGGCAGGGCCTTCGTTTGAGAAGCGAAGAAATTCTGCAAATTCAGTGCAACGTGGCACTTCGCACGTGGAAAGCATCTCATCGTCGGAGCCCTCCGAAGGTCGACAACCTTGCCTGCTCTGGGAACAATCGGTAGCAAGAACTCTGTTCCTATGCCACGACCTGCACCTTTGTCACTGACATTTCTTGACGCGCAGCTATTTTAGTAAATAAATTATTTACTAAAATATTCTTGGACAAATATAATTTATATTTGTCCAAGAACATTTTAGTAAGCTGTTAATGCTTCAAATAAAAGCAACTGGATGAGAAACGCTTCTGGTGGCCAACCATTTTCTTGCATGCATACAGAAAGCTATACAGTATGCGGTGCAGTACAAAGGGTACAGCACCCTTGTGTATCGTCTGCGAAGCATATTCAAGTGCCAACCCGAGAACAAGCAATCCAAAAACAAGCCAGCCAGGCGAAGTGATACTGTACCAGGCCAAGTAATACCACGCGGAGCGATACCTCAGGCGTATCTCTCACCCCAGCTCCAAAACCACCGTCTACTCTATATCCTCTCGTTCCTCCTATGCCTGACGGGAAAGTTTTCACTCCAAACCCCTCTACTAACGACGTCTGCTCTTTAGAACCGTCGACACTCGACCTCCGAGCTGAATTGGGCGACGCACACGACATGGTAAGCTTCGTCGCACCGGCCTATTCATCTTGGGTGTCTTCTCCATGGCGACGACCGCCGCAAACCTCCAAATCAGCACCCGCCACACATGCAAGGCCCGTTGCCGTCGCCGAGTCCCGCCCACGCCCAGGCGTTGACTTTCATGGCATCCCGAATCCCCCACAAGGGGCGCCACTGATGCTGTCTGACTTACGTGAGCGTCTCATCCGACAGGAGGAGACGATTATCTTCGCCCTCATTGAACGCGCGCAGTTTAAGCGAAACCCCATCATTTACACGCCTGGTAAATTTGACTTACCAGACGACTGTGATGGCACCTTTTCCCAGCATTTGCTGTATGAACTAGAAAAGGTGCACGCAAGGGTGAGGAGGTACACTTCCCCAGACGAGCACCCCTTTGCACCGGAGAGTATTTTGCCGAAGCCCATCCTTGGTAATCTAGAATACCCACAAACCTTGAGAATCAACAACATCAACGTCAATTCGATGATAGAGGACACCTATCGCACGTCTATCTTGCCAGAAATCTGTGAAGAGGGCGACGACCAGAACTACGGAAGCTCAGCCACGTGTGACGTGGCCTGCCTTCAAGCTCTCTCAAAACGAATTCACTACGGGAAGTTTATTGCGGAAGCAAAGTGCCAAGAGAGCGAGAGCAAGTACAGAGAACTGGCGAGAAAGGAGGACAAAGACGGAATTTGGAAATTGCTTTCGAATCTCGCAGTTGAAAAAGTTCTTTTGAAACGCGTTGAAAACAAGGCCCGAAGCTATGGCTTGGACATTACCGTTAATGGCCCCAAAGAAGTGTACAAGGTCAACCCTGTGAAGATTGCAGAGATCTACAGTGACTTTATCATTCCTCTCACAAAGGAAGTAGAAGTTGATTATATATTGCAGCGTTACATCGGCAATAATAGCACAAATTAAAGACCCTTGTACAGGAGTTGGCAAGTCCTTTCAACATGGATTTCATGAACTCCTCTAGTTGCAGATTGTTCCATCGTATGCAACGAAAGAAAATTAGCGACCGCAGAGTATGTCTACATTTTTGATGACACCGAAGTTGTCTGGGATATTAGATTGTGACGTTTTTGCAATGGCCAACGTGCACGAGAGTCCGGTAGAGGCTGCCCAAGGGATGCCATCTTTACAAACGGTGCCAACAACGTTGGGGCAATAAGAGAGACGTTGGTTGCGATGGTCTTGGCGGTCACTTCGAAGGTTTGAGTACCGCGGTAAAACGTCTATCGGGAAACTGCGTGCTGTTTTATCGCAGAATCCCGTAGAGTTCGAAGGTCTGTACGCTTGTTGAGGGGAAGAGTCGGCTAAAGTAAACTAACGTCCAGGATTTAAGCCGCAACAGGGAATCATCCCAAGAGCGCCTATTTTTTACAAACTTTTTGATTCTTTCATTCAACATTGGCCTTTGTGCGCGGGCACGTTGCGTGCCGCCGTCAGGATTCACGAGGCCTTCTCTGCTCAGATCGAAATCAGCAATAATTGGCAGCCCAGGAGAAATCGGCCACACCCACAGAGAAGCTGGGTTGCCAAGCAATGGTCAGTTTTTCCTGCGATAAGTGTCAGAATGTGTTTACGAAGCCCAAGGTTTTGCGGCACTTATCGAGCTGTCGGACCGAGACAGTGAGTTGTATTGATTGCGGGGTTGTGTTCGACAAGAGAAGCGTGCGTGGTCATCAATCATGCATCTCGGAGGCTGAAAAGTACGCGCCCAAAAACCATGCAAGTACGAAAAGCACCCCAAGCTACTGTGGTATTTGCAAGCTGGCTCTCAATGGCGCGGTACACTCGCTGCAACACTACGAAAGCAAGAAACACCGCGCTGTAGAAAGGAGGATGAAGGAAACTGAGAAGAACGCAAAAAAGGAAACTCGGTCAGTTCCAACTGTCGCTTCGAAAGACAGCGAAGTGGCGCCGCCTCAAAATGGGATTTTGAAGCCATCTGCGGTTGAGAGAGACTCGACAAGCCGCACAGATGGGATTAAAGTACAGAAGCGTTTGGGCGTTAAGAAAGCGATGAAGAAAGTTTTGAAAGCAGCACCCAAACAGAGGCTAAAGCGAGACCGACTCGTGCGTGCGGTAAAGACGCTGCTCGGGCAGGATTCACCTGCGGACTTGCCTGAAGTCGTTGATAAGAAAACTAACACTTCTGCGCGATTTGAGGTTCGGAAAGGAAGAGTGACGTTGGTATCCCCCGCGAAGAGATAAAAGCGAAATACTGCCACTACGAAACGCATCGTAAGGAATACCGACCGATTTCCCGGCTCATCGCGACAGTCTATCCTGAGGAAGCTGCGGAGGAAAACAAGAACACTGGGGGAGAGCCAATGGCATTCGTCCGGATTTCTACAGAAAGAAATTGTGATAGTTTGTATAGAATGTTCGCGCTTTGCCTACCTTCCATGTCCTCCGCACCTTGCCAGAGCATGCCAAATAATGTTGACAGGGACGCAGAGCATGTGTTGTTCACGTCGATTCGTCGACAATTATCAATACTCATTCGGTCATCACTAAGATACAGTATCGGCATCAAGGCCTATCGATGAGAGAGGCAGGAGTGTCGGGATGTTATGAGATCCTGGTAGAATGCAGACCAAAGCCCTCCTGCAACAGTATTCACTAAGACCCTGCAACGCGGCTCGAACGTCATAGCTGCTACCAAGGAGATTCTTCCAAGCTCCTACAGTACCTGCCCATCACGTAAAGAACCCTTGAAGCTTCTGACGAAGCGTAGTTTGCAAAGCAGAGGCGTACATGTGAGACCGCAATCGCCACGGTCTCGCCCTTTCCGGAAACTTCCACTACTGTAGAGGAGGCAGCGTGTTCGACGAGACGTGCTGTATCGTAGAATGGAGACAAAATCATACTGTACCAAGGGTACTGTACTTCATTTTCATAAGCGTTTTTTTACCGCACATGTCATCACGGGTGGGCAACCCTGGCGCCCCAGATTTTTGAAACTTTTAAGTTTTGCGTCATCGCACACGCACAAAACCTGCAACAGTTTCCACCGTGATCCCTTAAAGCTCCTCCGTTCTTCAGCACGAAGCCGCGAACCTCCACAGAACAACCAAAACCTCGCGCCACTTTACGCTACGCGAATTGAAGCAAAGAGGAACAGCGGCAAGGGACCCAGCATTTCTACACTATTTTCTCGAAGCAGAAAACGAAACAGCATTCTTTTAGACAGATGAATCCGGCTTTCGCAATCCCCGCCGCCGTTGGCCTCAACTCTTCGTGGGCGGCTTGCAACGCTAAAATATCTTCTCGCCAGGGAAAAGTCTCACATGTATTCCGGGCGCCTCCAGCCGCGCAACGTGCGCGCTGGTTCGCAGTTTCCGGCGCTCCACAGCCTCCGGATTCTGACTCGGACGCAAATTCTGACCCAGGGAACCCCGGAGACAGCCCAAACGACCCGGGCCGGCCAGCAGATTTTTGCTGGCTGTCGTTATCAGGCATGGCTCTCGCGATGCTGAGTTTAACGTTGACATTTCTGGAGAAGACCAACAAGAGAGCAACGAGCTCTTCCAGTTCGTCAAGCAGATTCCACCGCCGGACCTCGTGAAGAAGTTTACTGAAGCCGCACCTACCGTCGTTCAAAGTGCTATCAGGGAAACTCTAGTCAGCATGCTCGGCTCTCTTCCGCCTCTTGCATTCTCGACTAACGTTTCGACAATGTCTTCAAACCTCGTGCAGCTCTTCCATTCCTCTCTTGTGACAGGGTATATGTTCCGAAATGCTGCTTACCGACTTGAACTCACTAGAAGTCTTGATTGGGCTGGTCTGAAAGCTCTGCCGTCAACTGATGACAAGCCCGAAATCCAAGGCGGCGTGGCGGTATTTAAACAGGGGGATGGGTCTACTGTTGAAGTACCTGTGGAGGACTACATTGACGAACTAAGAGCGACTGTCAATAACTTGCAGGGTGAGTTACACAGAGAACGTGAGGGTGGGAACGAGCTCTTGAGTTTCATCTCAACCATGCAGAAGGAAAGCATCGAAGGACTAACAAAAAATGCCGGTGAGGAGGTTGTGGAGGCTATGAAGAAAGTTTGCGCTGCAGTAACAACATCACAGGGTATCAACCCCGAAAAAGAGTCGCATGTACAAGCGTCTGCTCCAGAATTGGGGCAACTGCTGTTTTATCTAATGGTGAGCGGCTTCTTTTTGCGCGAGGCAGAGGTTCATTTGGACCTGCAAAGGAAGCTTGGAGGGGACGGCTTGAGTCTGAAAAATCTGCTCGGCGGAGGGTCAGAAGCTAAAGACACTCCAGAGCCGCCTAAGGAGCCATGAGCTGGGATTTTCCACATCTCGTCCCCCAACCATTTCCTTGTGTCGCGACCGGGTATCGCTTCCGCAACAAAATTGAATAAAGCACCAAACAAGAATATATAATAAATTTGTGCACGTCAGAAACGACTGAGCAAAAGTAGTCAGTTAAGTGGAGGAGGAAAGTTAATCGCGAAGCTATGTGACTACGACGCGGGATCGTCATCGTCATCGTCCGTTTCATGATGTGGGACTTCACACGGAACACCGCACAACGAAACATTCACTTCGGGCACAGGTTTCAGATTCTCGCTTTCTGCGCAGCACACTGGTGAACCCGACTCTACTAGAGTAGTCCACTCTTCTTGTAAATATCCCCTGAACAGGCGCATGTCATACGTCTCAAGAGTGCGGACGACAAGCGGTATCACCTGCAAAATCCACATGACCTGTGTCTCATGGCAGAAGTATTCTGGTCTTTGAATGGCATGTCTTACGACGTCCGGCAATGACATACCCTGGTATCTGGTATTTTCGACGTCTGCAGTGCCAATCTGAGCATCACGATCATCGAGTGTGCGGAAATCGAGAGCGTCCCCTCTCGGCAGCACGACATACGCTTGTGTCCATTGGTTGTCGGTGCGTTCGTCCTTGGTTCCGTTGTCATATACATGGTGATAATAAAACGGAATACCTACTGGATATATACGTGGTCTAGGGATGAAGGCAGCCTCTTCTTCCAGGCCTCTTGTAGCGGCCTCTTCAAAAGTTTCGTTCACGATGGCATGCTCTCCCACAGGTGCCCAGGTCATCGGGCACGTCTTCATTTCCGGGGCTCGCCAGGTAAGAAGTAACCTTAAATGAGAATCAAGCGCAAACATCCATGAACCGCGATGTACCAGGGCTTGTCTATGCACTCTGTCAATTGGTATGGGTCCGCCGGGCAACACAACATTTGGATCGTCCGGTGATATGAGGTCCAATTGCTCGGCAACCCTCTTGGCCAAAATCTTTTCTTTCTCTCTTCGCGGAGTAAGTCCGCCTGGGAGGGCGAACTCAGCAATGCAAATGAGAAGCGCAGAGACAGCTAGGAGAGAAATTTGAGAAATACGGCGGGGTGTGTGACTCTCGGAGCGTAAGTGCGACATCTCCGGAGATGCACTCAAGGGCGACAAAGTTGCGCCGAGGAGGTGAGAAGTTGGTTCTGCGGAATTTCGCCTTCGCGGCGCTGAAATCCGGTTGGACAGGAAGCGATTAGCTTGGCGGAAGAAGAAGAGAAGTCGAGCTAACGGTGGGACGGTTTGGCCCGGCACTATTCGGGACACTGTTTTCATGCGGAGGCGCCCACCACAGTATGTACACGCCCAAAGATCCGGTGGCAAGGGAGCGTTGGCCGGCGTGGAACCGCCGGACGACTTGCAATTGCGATGAGCGTCGTGGCGATCGAAAGATCGTCTCTCTCTCAGTTGTCGTGTTGCCCACAGGAAGGAGATGTTGCTGCAGGAAAGTTATTTTTTAGTGTTTAGTGTCAATGGCCGTGACAGCAACGCGAATTGATGTCAAATTACGACCTCAAACACAGTGAACTGCTGTTCACAGCTCACATGAGCTGATCTCATCTCAACACCACGCTTGCCCTTGCTGTCATGAGTCGATGTAACTCGCCGTTTCCATCTACACATGTCTGATACTCACTGTACTGTACTGGGGGGTTGGGCGTTACGCAGTAAGGCTCAACTGAGCAAGGCAACCCTTGGTACAACGCGCCCTATTTCATGGGTGACATCGTGGTGTTACCGACATCCAAGCACTCACGTGCACACGTGTCGCTGTACTTCGTCGGTCTCGGGCACATCTATGAAGGGGAACAACGTCGTCTCCCCAAGCTAGGACATACCCGGTGGGTACCCACCCCGATTCATAATGTAACTCTATATCTAAACTTCAATCGATAAAAGCCACGCAGCGGGACTTTCTCCCAGTGCTGTCGCTTGTATAGAATGGTTGCCATCAAGCACGTCGATTTTTAAAATTATGTTTTGATTGCCATGTTCCTGAAACGAAATCTGTACCTTCAAAAACCGAACCGACTCCAAATGCTCAGGGAAAGTCTACTTCAATACTGTACTGAATGGCCCTCAGAGACACCAGTACTCGGCAGGTTCTGATCTCAAGAATACTGTAAAAAGAACACAGAAAGAGGATAAATTGACCATGTCCTCCCTCCATACAAGGCGCCTTCTTGGCGTTTAGAAGGGTGCGCCTTACTCGGCACAATTGCCGGTACATTACGTTTACTCTCAACCAGTCATTGCGCACCCTTTTTCGCCTGCTGTGCGTAGCTGGCATATTAGCGTATGCATATTCTCGCATCACGACCGGAGCGTGGACGACAACTATAACTACCCTGGGGGGTTTGACGACTCAGCCAACTGCGCAACCATGTCTACCCCGATATCTCTTTTCGTGCCAGGGCGCCTTTGTTTGGCAGGCGAGCACTCGGATTGGGCTGCCTCATACCGACTACAGTCTCCATCCATTGCACCTGGAGCTGCACTTGTTGTCGGTCTTCAACAAGGTCTCCGTGCCACCGCTTCTCGCATCGAATCCGATCTTGACGTGTCCTCCTCCTTGGCCGGTTTTTTTTCAATCTCACCATGTGATCTTTTCACCGTTTCTCGCTCAAAAAACCCCTGGCGTCTGTCTGCGGCCGTTGGTTTTATCATACGCCAGCGATATGGAGTCACGGGTCTTTCACTCAATGTTACTGGGCAAACTCTTCCGGCTGGGAAGGGGCTCAGCTCTTCGGCCGCAGTTTGCGTCCTAACTGCACGTGCCTTTAACGTGCTGTACCGCCTGCATCTCACCACGTCTGGTGAAATGGAAGTTGCATACGCCGCGGAACGACTTACTGGAAGCCCCTGTGGAAGAATGGATCAGGTCGTGGCTGCAGGTCCAGGACGAATCGCACGAATGAAGTTTGATGGCGATTTCGTCGAACACCGTGTGCTAGAGGTGCCGGATGGTCGTCCAATTTACATCGTTCTGGCTGATTTGGGAATGCAGAAGGATACAAAAGCGATTCTAACGGGTTTGCACCGTGCTTATCCAGACGGAGATTCACTAGACTGCAAGACTCTTCAAGACGCGCTTGGGGCCACAAACTTAGAACTAATCGCTGAAATGGAGGAGGCCATAACACAGTCCAAACTAGAGAGGCTGGGACAGCTTTTCATGTATGCACAAAAAGTCTTCGATGATGCCGGGATCCCGTTCTGCCCTGACGAATTGCGGTCCCCAGCGTTACACAAAATCTTGAAAGATAGGGATTTGCAAAGATATTCCTACGGTGGAAAGGGAGGTATGTTTCACTCCATATCATTTCTTCAAATGGATTCCCAGCGAAAGGTTGTGCTTGCAACTTGACGCACAAGTGCGTGAGTCAGAATCTAACGTCATCTTTCCGAATAACGCATGCACTCTCCTGTGTACTCCTCTAAGCATGCAGTTGGCAGCCAAGGCGACGGTTCGGTGCAGTTTGTCGCGAAAGATCACGAAAGCGCCACAATGTTAACGCGACTGCTGCGAGAAAAACTGAGGACTGAGCCCTATATTGTGAGTATTGCACATGTTGGAGCAGAGCGAAAGGAGACGAATGCGATTCAAACCTTCCGAGAGATTCCCTTGAGACCACTAGTTCATACAGCAGTCATCCCAGCCGCCGGTTTTGGAACTCGGCTGTACCCCGCCTCCCGAAGTATCTGTCCAAAGGCTCTCTTCCCAATCATTGATGACGACGGCTTCGCAAAGCCTCTCCTTTTGCATCTCGTCGAGCAATGTGCGAGGGCTGGAATCTTGAGAGTTATCATAGTCACTGGACCTGGTGCACAGAAAGAGCGAGTGGAAGAAGTTTTCGCTCCAATCTCAGCTGCCTTGGACAATGCGCTGAAGCCTGCAATGCGCGAGTATGCGAAAGAGATCACCAAATTGTCATCAATGGTTGAAATCGCAGTTCAGGAGAAACCTCTCGGGTTCGGCCATGCTGTTGCATGTGCCACAGTTGAAGTGGACTGTCCCTTTGCTCTCTTACTAGGTGACGTAGCGCTGAAATCCTCACTTCAAGAGAAGTCATGTTTAATGCAAGCGATCAGTGAGTTTGAGTCAAACCCTTCACGGTCCGTGATTGGGGTCACTCAAGTACCTGTGTCAGAAGCGGTGTCCTATGGTGTAGTAGGGACGGCAGAAGCGGACTTTGGCCTTTCCACAAGAGTTCCAATCCAAGAAATAATCGAGAAACCAAGCATGGCTAAAGCGGAGGAATTGGGACAGGACGGCAAATGCAGCATTATCTTGGGGCCTTACATCTTGACACCGTCAGTCATGAAAGAACTACGAAAGGATGTTGAAGCGGATAGGACGACAGGTGGAGAAATACAGCTGACACCAGCTTTGGAAAAAGTATGGCAGACGGAAGGAATGGACTCGTATTGTCTACGTGGAGAAGCATTGGACACAGGAAATGCAGCGGAATATGTTCGAACACTGACGAAATTGGCATCGCTTAACATGTGATCTAGCTACCTGGACAAAGGAATCCTGAACCCTCTGCTTAGAACCAGGGCTTAATTCATGGGAACTGCATCGATGTGAAACCCCTGTAGCAAACCAGTACGCGATAGTCTTATCGCGTACGTGACTGCCATAGTTTCACTATGGTAGATGTCATCTTCGTCGCCAGCCACCGTGTAGTAGAGCCTGGCATCTTCCTGGAGGCCCTGCGCAATGGAGACATTTAAGTGTCATGTTTCTGTGGAGTCTCATGAACTTCCCAGCCACATTTGCCTTTATGCAATATTAGTACACTTCGAGTCTATGGTCCAGTTTGACTAAAATGTTAATACTTGTAAATAATATGTACAAACAGAGTCTTTCCTCCATCCTTCCGGAAGACGAAGCCCAAGGTCAAGTTGGGACGATGGCAGGAACGAAATCTTCAGAATAAATCCTGCAGAAGAGAATCTCAGTCCCTGCGAAAATTCGTGGTTGCACCTCGGTAGTACGATGCCCCTCAGTTGACCACTGCTATCAGCGAAAGCAATCCTGCTCCATTCTTAAGCCTTGATCAGCCGACTCGGCGAAGCAACAGCTTTGGCGCCTGCAATCGCAGGCTCCATACCCCGCATGATGGCTTTAGCAAACCGATCAGGTGCGCAGATATGCGGGGAGTGATCGGCTCCGGAAATGACATTAAGCCTAGCCTCATTCCCAACAGCAACAAGTGCCTTGTGTAATGTCCGGACGGCCTCGACATGAACGAGAGCATCATTGTCCCCTGTGATAAGATCAACTGGGCACTCTAACCTCGCGACGCGCTCTAACAAGGGCCTGACGCATTCGGCCTGCCATCTGGTGGGTCCGACACGACAGAAGCGGAGCATCTTAGCAGCAGCAGCGTCGCCGCTCTGATGGGCAACGGAGTTGACGAACAAGGTAAGCTCACGCATCCCCAAGACGTTGTACGCCGGATCTGTGGGGTAGCGCATCGCGAAGAAAATATGGGCGAGCAAGCCGCCATGTGTCATGAAACGCTGCGGCGTGAAAGAGAACCACGCAGCGAGCGAGACGGGAGTGTGTCGGGTGATGGCAGCCGGACTGGCCAGGATCAGGCGACGCACTCGGGCGGGATGCCTGGATGTATATTCATGTGCCAAATAAGCGCCGAGAGAGTGGCCACAGAGAGTGAATTGAGCAAGCGAAAGCGAGTCGAGCCATGTAACGAGCGGGGTAAGGAAAAACTCGACGGCATGGCCGACCTGTTGACCCCGAAATGTGGGGCGGGAGGAGCAGCCCCAGCCGGGAAGGTCTGGGACAAAGATGGAGGAGTAGCCCATATCTAGGAGGGCATCGATGTTGCCTGCGAAGAAGGCGCCAGCCATGGAGTGGCCGTGGAGAAGAACGAGGGGGTTTGAGCCGGGGCGGAAGGAGTCGGTGGCAGCGGCGCCAGCAACGAGCGTGTGAAGGACAAGGCCGGAGGGCAGGGTGACGGGGCGGACGAGGACAGGGGCGCTGATTTGGCGCAGCATGTCAGCTTCAATGCGCGGGAGCGAGCGGGTGCGGTGGCGGATAGGGCCTTTCACAGCACGGCCGAGGAAGCGGTTGACCTCGAAGATGAACAGGGCTTCGCCCGCGAGACGGAGGAGACGCAGGGCGATGTTGACCAGGTTCATGGTGGAGATTTGAGTATAGAGGCGAGGTGGGGTGGGATGAGAGAGAAGTATAGGAAAAGGGGGTGAGGAGGGGCGTAGGAGAAAAGTTATAGAGGTAGAATGGGCAAAATGTAAGACCCCGTGTCCGAATTGTTAGGCGCATTGCCAAGATGAGCAATGCATGCGGGGGAGCAAAGCAGTCAAAATGTTCGAAATTTTAAATGTAGCCGGGCCACGGTGAGCACGCAGTGGAATCGCCACAAATATCGGGACAGAGGATGCGGGGCAGCTGCCTTCTCCCGTGCGCCGTGCTCAGGTTTGCATCTTGCCACATCTCCGCCTACTAGATTGCAATAGCTTCGAGGAGGGTTTGTCGCATGATAATGGCGGATTTTGGTTGGCGGGCTCAGAATCTCTCGCGGTTGAAACGCCCCCATGCGCCGTGGACGAAGCTTTTCCTGGGCCGCGACGTGTTTGACGCCATTCAGGTCCAAAGGTGATTGTCCACGTCCTGACAATCCGCCTAGAGAAGGGCGATGCTCGTCTTAGAGGCAGTCTTCTTCCACTATCTTTCCTCCTCTCACCGTGAGAAACGAGTGCGGCACATGTCTTTCAGGGTACAGAAGGAGTAAAAGTTTCGAATTCAGCGTGTTTGCGCAGTGTGGCAGGAAACCTACTGCGACGGAGTTTCAGAGTCGAATGTAAAATCTATTAGCGAGTAAATTTAGCAGCAACATGCAAAATACGCATATATGCCTCATGCCTCGGTGGTCAGTGTAGCCGGTGCAGGGGATCACAAGGTTCCACTTCGCAAATCCTAGCCGAGCAGTTTGCTCTTCGGTGGGAACCTTGGGTAAGCAATCAAACAGCATGAATAAAACTACATATCTCGAGGAGTGGCCACGTCTGCACAATGGTCGGGGCCCTGTCTTCTCGCGACAAACTTTTCATCTTGTCGTCACAAGTGCTATACGCGTATAGGTGTACATCGTCTCCAGCAAGGCACATTGCGCTGGCCATGGTCACGTGCTGGCGCCAGTGACCCATGAGAAATGGTACATATGCCGTACGCAACCCAGACCCTACACACTCAGTCGAAGTTGACGGGCTCTGCTAAAGTGAAAGGTGATCTGACAGACCTTTCTACGAAACAACTAAAACATGAGACTCGTGCTTTGTTGAAGGGTCTTTGCTCCGACGTGAGGGTCAGTAACCTGGCTGTTGACGTCAGTAATGCTGTGAAGGAAGCATGAGTTGCGCATACTTGTAAACGTGGAATAGCACGACGCGTGGACACCTGTAGAACCGCATCCAATGATCATTGCCCTTTCAGAGATGGAGGCGTGGCAGGAATACGCAGCCCTACAAAATTGCATTTCCGTCGTTGCATCGCTTGGTTCAATATAAATATATTTACTTACACTAGTGTCTAATGGACCGTTTATCCTCATATGAGGACAAAAGTTTTTTTTTTTCTTTTCTAAGCAACCCAAGTCGCGATTTCACTTCTATTTTTTGAAACCAGAAGGCCATCACACAGGTAAAGCAAGTGCTTGTCGATTCTAGCGAAAAACAACTTGTTGATGCATATAAAGGTGTACAAACGAAAATGTTGGCTTACGGCAAGCAATTTTCTTTAAGCTAATTTTATACCGGTAGCATAGAAACATGGGCTGAGTGCTTCTTATTCGGTTCTAACTTCAGAAACTTTTTAAATCCAGTCCATCTACCAAAGAAAAAAGAACCGGGGGCATTAAAGTTGAAAAGAAATAAAATTCGGAGATTTTTATGTTGTGATAACGCTTGGGCGGAAAGACACTACAGTAGAAGGAACTGCAAAGTGTTCCACGTGTGCTACCTTTTCGACTCGAACCACAATCTCCGATGATCACCAGGTCTTGCACGTTCCCCCAGATTCCTCTTCACCATTTCCCTTTCGCCCACAGCTCTTCCATTCGTCCGCAGCTCACCTTGTTCTACCGCGCCTCTTCTCAAGATGTATTCATGTTCATCGGCCTTCATCCCGTCCGCTCTCCCGCTACTTCGCTCATCCCACCACCGCCATTCAACGCAGGTCTCCACCGCCAACCGCCCGCCCCGCGCCTCCCCCTTGCGCGCCGCGCACCTACCGCGCATGGTAGGCAGCATACCCCCTGACAGCACCATGGTGCCAGAACTGGAGGCCCTCGAACCCGACTCCGGTTCCGTCGTGATCGCGCCGTCCTTCAACCTGGCGGGCGCCTTCCTCTTCGTCGGCGGCTTCTCCTTCTACCAGGGCGACCTGTGGATCGTGCTCGGCTTCCCTACCCTCCTCATCGGTATCCTACTTGCCGTCCAGTCTGTTCGCGTCCGCTTCGTCTTCGGGCCCACGCGCGTCAGCGTCGCCGCGAACAAAAGCGATGGGCTCCAGATTATTAGAGGCTGGAAGTATGACCAGATTACCAATTGGGAGCTTTGGTGGAAGCCCCTTCCGATTTTGACTTACTTTAAAGAGAGTGAGAGCTATAATGGAAGGGGGAGCATCCACTTTTTCCCCGTCATTTGCAACGGGGCGCAGTTGTTGCATCAACTGAAGAAGAATACACCACATCTAGACAAATCTGATTACTCCTGAACGTGGGCTAGAGTAACGAGGGAGTTGGCGCTCGCGAGATACGTACATAGGGATGTACGGCATTCAATTCGCTCACTGCGCCCGCGGGTATATATCGCCGATGTGCGTGCAAGCCCATATATGGCGGGTGAAGTGTGCCGTCAGCTCATACAATTGGCGCGTGAGTTGCAAGCAGGATGCGCAAACCCATTTGCGAGTTTGCTGGAGCCGTACTCGCACATAGTTCACAGGGTCGGAGCTTGCCAGTTGTTTCCTGCAGACGATTGTAAGGCCCGACGATTTCGGAGCCACGAGCTCGCCATGTACTTTGTGTCGTTGTTTCAAACGGCAGCCATCATGGCTGATTCCCAGCTATCTCGCTATGATCTACACCATGCACACATGTATTTTGATTCATCACGCGGCATATTGGGGTTACTATTTCACGCAAGGGAGTATCCTAGCTTCGATGAGCACGAGTTTCCATTCAACCTCGGCTACTGCCAGCAGATGTCGACTTTAGCGATAGAGAACGAAAAGGATATGGACTGTAGAACCGTTTTATTGACTTTTGGAGGGAATTGCCTAGTCCTGCTTGACGGGCCGGATCGTGCGCCTTTTGGAACCATCTACGAGAGCGAGTTTGGGCGAGCCGTTGCTGATATCTACTACTTTGAAAGTCGGTTTGGATCCAAAGATGAGGGTTTAAACAGGGGACTCCATGTCGTTCCATACGTATAGAATATTTACAGGAGGTCAGCCGGCGGGAGCACGGCACTTGCAGGTTGCAGATGGCGCCAAAACCCGCAAACGCAGGATAAATGCGATGGATTTGGGAAAATTCTGTTCAAAGGGTCAAACACCCTTCGGATCTTCTCCGCTTCTCCAGCCTCGAAAGCCTTCGTACAAAGTTGTCCCAGTCATTTGAGAGGGATGCTGGCCCTCAAACTTGCCCATCTGTGCCCTGGCGTTAGCTAGTGCGAGCCCCGCCGCAACTTTCTTGGCTTCTCTTACATTTTCTTTCTTCCCTGCCCATACATTTAAAGGCGAAGTTTGCAAAGCTCGGCCATACGAAAACGACAAGGACCATGGAGCTCCCCCCTTTGAATCACTCAGCTTGTTAAGCGCGTTCAAATTCTCAGTCGCCTGGAGCTCGTTCATACCACCAGATAGGAACATTATTCCCGCCACTTCCTTAGGGACGACCTCAGACATGACCTGCCATGTGAAGTTTGCCACTTGCAGCGGCGATATGGGTTCCCGCTCAGGGCTGGAGACGCCCGGCATGATCATCATGGGTTTTAGCAACGTCCCTTCCAACATGACACTCTCTTTTCTGAGTGCTTCGTAGCATTTCGCAATCACTCTTCTCGCGACGTCAGCAGAGACCTGCTGCGAGTGTGCGCCATCGATCAAAATTTCTGGCTCCACAATAGGCACGAGGCCTTCGCCCTGTGCCACTCGAGCATATCTTGCAAGTGTCTCGGCGTTTTCATTGATGACAGCGTCGGTGGGAAGACGCTTGCCCATGTCGATTCTCAAAGCAGAACGCCATTTTGCAAATCGTGCACCTTGTTTGTAATACTCTCTGCATCTTTCATCAAGCCCATCAAGACCGGATGTGAAGGTCTCACCTGGTGAATCGTTAACTGGCTTGAGCCCTGTATCAACCTTGACACCCGGGAGGATACCTTTCTCAGCGAGGATATCCATAAATCTCCTGCCACTGCTGTCGCTTTGGTAAACAGTCTCATGGAAGAGAATGACACCTGAAAAGGCATCCTCGTTACCGGGTGCGCATATCAAAATCTCTCGAAATGCGCGACGGTTCTCCTCGATGTTCTCAAGTCCGAGCCCAATCAGCCGCTTTCCGATCGTACCGACGCTCTCGTCTGCTGCGAGGATTCCCCGTCCACGCCTGGCAAGACGCGCCGCATTTTTCTTCAGTTCTTCTTCAAACTTCGTTCCCTCCATTCTGGGGATAAGAAGAAAGCTGCGACGCAGCGAGGCGAGCAAAGCTTGGGCTGGAGCAATGAATTGGTCTATGAGTGTCTGTAGTAGCGTAGATGCTCGGGGGGTTTAGAGCATGGCACCAGTCACATTGGTAAATCATCTTAATTTGAGACTGCAGTTTGAACAAGTGGAATTAAACGGTTGACTGTATCTTTAATAAAGCCGCATTGGTTGGTTGTGCGTAAATCGAGTTTTCGACGAATAATGCTCCAAAGCCCCTGCCCTTCATGTACGGATGAGCTCAATTCCGTAATACAGAGCTATGGGAGCATGCGGTGGAGATGGACCCTGACCCCCGCACACTGCTTCTGCTTAGCAAGCCAAACACGTGACTAACTCGTTCTGACGTTCCTTCCGCCAGTTGTTTCCCCTTCTTTTCTGGCTCAAAAAGCGCAATCAGGTGATCCCAGAAACGAGACCCTCTTTGTATGTCTGAGCTGCCGTTTCTGCCTCGTCTTAAATACTCACCCTCTGACTCTAGTTGCACCACAATGTCTCTCAAACCTGCTTTCATTGCACCCATCTCTTTGAGAGGCCTAGGTGCGAGCAATCTCCGTGCAATATCTCCCTGGTACACAAAAGCTCGCAGTTTTGCTCGTCCAACACGATGGACAGCTTCTGCATCCGGCCCGGACACTTCAAACATCGACACTTACAATGCGTGGATTGCCGAAAAGCAGTCTGCGCGAAACCAAGCGAAAACTTCGTCCAACATTGGCGTGACCTCTATCACGAAGGCGCGCGAGGACATGCCATCGCCGCCACCGTTTCCGCACCCGACTCTCTTTCAGCCTGGGGCTGAGGAGTACGCTTGCGATATGACCCGTCTTCCACCCAAGGACTTTGGCATTATCGCCCAAGAGACGGAGCGCGCTGGGCTCTTCGCCCCTTGCATGGTCGGAGCGGTTGAAGGTCAGTTTCTCAAGATGCTTGCCCAGATCAAGGCCGCGAAACGTGTTCTGGATATTGGTACATTCACTGGGTACTCAGCGCTTGCGTTTGCGCAAGGGGTTGTCGAAGGCGGCCAAGTGATCACTATTGAAGCGGACGGGAGGGCTGCGGAAGTTGCGAGAAAAGTTTTTGCGAAGGCTGAGCATGGTGATCGAATTCAGCTGGTGGAAACAGATGCCAGGAAGGAGGTTGCGGATATGGTGAAGAGAGGGGACAAGTTTGACATTGTGTTTTTGGACGCGGATAAGGTCAATTATCGGAATTACTATGAAGATGGTTTGAAGCTGCTGAAGGAAGACGGTATATTGATGGCAGACAATGCTTTATGTTCTCTTGTGTATAGTCAAGATGACCCTGTCCGGCAGAGCCTTCATGATTTCGCTCAATTTGTGCGAAACGATGAGAGAGTCGAGCAGGTTATGCTCACTGTGCGGGAAGGAATTCTATTGGTACGCAAAGTTTAGTCCAGGCCCCTCGTTCCAGCAGCCTGTCTGTTCCGATGATAAAGCGACTTTTTTGACTTCATGAACGAGTACGTTGCGCCTGCGAGCAGTTGCCGGTTTGTTCTTGTCATCAACGCGTCTAATTTCCGTCTACTTCTCCTGCAGACATCATAGGCCGCATGCGGATGCGACATACTGTACAATATCAAGAATTTCTGGGGATCAAGAATGGGTTGTTGAGAATCAGTACAGAGGATCAACAGCGCGTATACCGTGTTGAAAAGTACGAAATTATACACTGCATGCATCGGGCCGTTAAAAAGTTTGACCAATGTCGGTAAATGCATCGAATGTTCTGCTGACAAACATACCGTACATGCAAATGTGAAGGGGATGCGAGATTCGAAATACCGTAATACTCATATCATTTAGGACCAAAATCGTGTCATTCGATTACATCTATGAAATGAGGACATCTGGTTTCGTTCAGCATCTCCTCTGCTACCTACGTTCAGCGAATAAATCCTTGCCTTCTAGCGGGGCGAAAAGCGAAGACATACATTGTGCACCAGTCGGACGAACACGGCCTCCCATGTGTTAGTAGAGATGTCGAGACCGACAGGGTTGTGGGTACACGCATTCGTTGCGGGCTTATCAATGGTAAGTTGGAACGAATCCTAGACACAAAACAGCCATTGCGATCCTTTCTTTTCTGACGGCTAAAACCTCTTCGGTTCTACAGCTTGGAGGACTGCTTCTTGTTGGATTAGGCGTTTTGCTCAAGATACGAGATCCTTTTCAGAACATCAAGCTTCAGTACGTCGAAGGTATGTGTGGCAAATGATCCTTTTTTCATATAATTTCTGCAAAGGCGAGTTCAACTAACCTCTGGCCTGACGGCATCAGCGTGTTGAAGGCTCGTCAATAAACAGGTTTCTTTCTGTCGCGTATGTCGCAATTGTCGCTGGAGCGTTGCTAGTCGTTGCGTCTCTTCTCGGAATCTTTGTTGCCAGACTGACTGGTAAGAGCACCATCGCTCGCATTTTTGCGGTATCCATCTACACGGTGGTATTACTTGTCATCATTGCTGCCCTAATCTTTACGGCATCCGTTGTAATTCTCTTGTCCAAAGGCCAGTCGCCGCTCGGTATGAGAGATTCATTGGAAAAGGCTTGGTACAATACGGTGGACGTGAAGAAGGAAGATGCATGCCGGCTTCAAGCAGATTTTGAATGCTTTGGATTTAGCGACAACTTTTGCCTCGGCTGCGGAACTTTTAATAGTAGCGATATTCGCGATTGTTCAGAAGAACAAGCACCACAATGCCCAATTTGTGAAGATACGCTGCCAAGTACGTCGGCGGGATGCTACGGCACAATTATTAACGCTACGAAAGGATTCTATATCCCGGTCGGAATTTCAAGCGCAGCCGTGGCTGGGGTCCTTCTCTTCGATGCTGTACTCGTTTGCGCACTTTAACCTGGTGATAGACCTGAGTACGGAGATTTCACAGAGCACTCCCTTTTCACGGTAACTATCGCCGCGTGTTTATGCGTCGATGGCACTGCTTTGGCGAGGTCCCAACAAGAAATACTGGTTTATGATGGTTTTACACGTGCACGTCGAGCTGCGTCAACGGCTTGCAATAAGTATAAATGTACAATGTTGAAACACCTCTCGCAAGCACAAGAGCTACAATTTCAAACCACGGAGAAGCTTCCTATGGTTTGCCCGAATCCTGTTTGTAACTGTCGGAGCATCAATTCCATCGATAATCTCGGCCTCCGTTCGAATTTCATCCTCAATCCCTAGAGCAAGACTCTTTAACTCGTGAAGCTGAACGCTAGTCTCATCCAAAACGCGGTCCTGCCGCTTCAACTGCTCCCTCACCCTAGTATTAGTAAATTCCGTATACTCATCCGGCTCCACATTTGGTTTCACGCTCTCCCCCACCACTCGCTCCTGGCCTAAACGCTGCCCCAAGCGGTGCCCTACCCGTTCGATGTTCCCGGATTTCCACCCCTCCTTCGCAACTCCCTTCCCAGTTTCTTTATTTCCCACTCTCTTTCTCTGCCTCCTGCTCTTCGCATCTCCAGCAAGCCTGATCACGGGCGCCTCTGCGACGCGTCTAATCTTGCCTTTTGTGAGCTTGTCCACTGTGCGGTGGATGGCATCAAGCGCCGACCCAGTCTCTTCGACAGTGTCACGGATTCCCTGCAGTTGCCTATTCTGGTTTTGTAGTGTTTCCGCAGTGCGCACAGCGATGTCCTTGCTTTCCAGTGTCGTGTCTAGGGCGCTCATGGCGAGTGCGGTGCCGCGCGCGGCCTCCGCTTCGAGAGAGCGTTCATCGAAGACGGACATGTCGACGACAGGGATGGACAATTCCGAATGATCTGCGGGAGAGGTGGGGGTGTTCGGGAGGGACTGGAGGGCGGCAGAGCGCGTGGGCCGGGCGAGGAATGGAGACATGGTAGATGTTGGGAGTGTGGTGTGACGGGGGGCGGTGGCGATGAAGGAGGGTTTATATGTTAATTGAGGGGAGCTGGTTGGACTAGACCCGGTACAAGTGATGCTTTCATTGCTTTGTGGCGGTTGTTGAGGACGCTGAGAGCGATAAAGAACGGTTCTGACTTATGGGAAAGGTCCACCAGAATGGGAGGGTCTGGGAAGGAGAGAGGAGTCAGAGTGGAAATTTGCCAGCGAGGTGGCGGAGGTTTTCTACGCCCTCCTAATGACTGTAAAGCTTATATGTTGTATTCCAGATATATTTTGGACGCAGTGCTGGCATAGTGTGTGATTCTTGGCAGCACGCTAGCTAGTGCCCAGCAATGCCGCGTTTTGGCGACGCATTTGGCAGTCATTGCTTGATGGATTGCTTGCGATTACAGAGCGAGGTGCTGCAACAACAGGGTGCGCAAAATTGAAGAGCTGGCGGAAACGCGAGTTGGTTACAGTCAGAGCTGTTTGGAGAAGAACGTCAGGAAGAGGCGTAGAGTGTAGAATGATCTCGATCACAAGTGTCGACACTTTTGTTGCCTCAAGATGTTCGGTTCGCACTTCTTGCAGAAGCAATGTTTTAGGGAAGGTAGCGTGGAGGCTCTCTTGCAGTTCGACTGGAAAATGAGTCATGCCGTGATTGTGACTAGGGCTTGTCCGGCAGCTCCAAGATGTTTTCCCACAGTTCTGGTATTCAAGAGTCAGGAATAACTAGTGCATGTACCTCCAGAGGGCACTGGATACGGTTCAAAACGCTCCTGAAAGAATATGGACTCTGAGGGGGGACCGAATTTTTGTACGAGGTTCTATTCTCTCCCATTGGATTGACATCAGATCCCCTTGCCAAAGTGCAGTACAAAAGTTGCTGTTCTACCCTTGCGTTATCATGAACGCATATTACGTGACCCCATCTTGTAGAGTATTGTAAGCAGTTACGACAGACTAAGATATGCGTGCACTACATGCTCTTTCTTGTGATTAGACATCACAATAAGAATCCGGCAGTGCCACTTCTGTCGCAATACGGTTTTGTATTTTTAGTTTAAAGGCAGGTATGCGGAGCAAGGCACATCCTTTCCAAATGCGAAAAGGCGCCTTGTATCGAGAGAGCTCTTGCTCCGGTTTGTCTTCGTCGTGCGTTCTTCTATAGCCTTACTTCTACAGCCTTACGTAGATCAGAATCTGCCGAGTGCTGGTCGCAGTACAAGACTTTCTCTTAGCTTCAAGAAGTGCCTTTCTCGCTTTCCGAAGGTGTAGGATTATTTGAACAGCATTGGAATCATGCGCCGCAGTTTTGAATCCCCATTAACACACTATAAATCGACTTGCTTGATGGCAACGGTTCCGCACAAGCATTTGCACCGTCATCCTCTGAATGCATCGCCATCTCTGTGCAGTCGTTCGTATGTGTCCCTCTTCGAACGCCTACATAAGAGGATCTTCTATAGTTGCCTGCCTCCATGGCATCTTGATCAGTTGCTATCACCGATAAAAGCTCACGGATACAATGTCAACTCGGGAAAAACGAAACATGTTCAGAATATGCTGAAAAGTGTGCCAGGGGGTACAAATCCCACACGTGTCAACACCAAAAATGAAACATGCTCAGAATCGACGGGAGGGTGCTTTGTACAATCACACGTGTACACGCTGAACAACAGAGCATCACCACGTGTCCACGTGAGATGTTGGAGACACCGTGAAGAAGCGCGCCATGTACAGTACCGAGGGTGCCCAACTGAAATCCTATTGGTGTTGTGAGAGGCCGCCCTGTCTGTAAGCATACAACCACGTGTATAGCATTGCAGTTGGTCTTTGCCGCCAATTCAGTCGCCCGCGCTTCACGGCACATTACAAAAATCATGAAATAGTAAAATCAAATGCTGATTACATTTTTGCGATCGAATCAAAGCGGATCAAACACGGCAGCGGCAGTGGCGGGTAAGGTGACGGTACGCTGCGAAGACCGTGGAGACTGCACTACGCTTCCGATCTAAGCCTAGCTTTTTCGCAACTCCCGCAACTCGACCGTCTCAAGAAGAGCACGGAACGAATTCGTCAACCTCTCGTCCTGCTGCCCCCCCTGTCCCCCACAATTCGGACGTTTTCCAGCTAAATCCTCATGGCTGTTCGTCTCCTCAATCCTGGCGCCGAGGTCTCCCGCCGCGGACTCGCGCTGCACACCACCATCTCCGCAGCGAAGGGGCTACAAAGCGTCCTGCGTTCTAACTTGGGCCCGAACGGCACCATCAAAATGCTCGTCAGCGGCGCTGGTGACATCAAGATCACCAAGGACGGCAAGGTCCTTCTCGACGAGATGCAGATCCAAAACCCCACCAGCGCGATGATCGCGCGTGCCGCCACCGCCCAGGACGAGATTTGCGGCGATGGCACTACCTCCACCGTTTTGCTTATCGGCGAGCTGCTCAAGAAAGCGGAGCAGCTTCTGATTGAGGGGCTGCATCCCCGCGTCATCGTCGACGGCTTTGATCTTGCGAAAACAGAAATCCTCAGATGGATGGAAGACCAGAAGATCGCTACCAAGAATGACCGTGAGGTGTTGGTTTCCGTTGCTCGCTGCTCATTATTGACCAAGCTGTCTGAGAAAGTGGCGCTCAACATGGCCGAGATGCTCACTGATGCCGTGCTGTGCATTGCGCGTCCGAGCCAGCCCATTGATCTTCACATGGTCGAAATTATGTCGTTGATGAGTTTGTCATCTGGTCCGTCTAGGCTTGTGAAAGGGATCACACTGGATCATGGATGTCGACATCCTGACATGCCGAAACGCGTCAAGAATGCGTACATTCTCACCTGCAACATCAGTATGGAGCACGAGAAGTCCGAGGTCACCTCAGGCTTTTACTACTCGTCAGCGGATCAACGTGAGAAAATGGTGGATGCGGAGCGCGCGGTAGTGGACGGTCGAGTGCGAAAGCTGATTGCTTTAAAGAAGCAAGTATGTGATGGCACGGATAAGAACTTTGTCATCATCAACCAGAAGGGCATCGACCCGCAATCGCTGGACCTGCTGGCCAAGGAGGGCATCATGGCACTGCGACGGGCGAAGCGCAGGAACATGGAGCGTGTCACTCTCGCTTGCGGTGGACTCCCCGTCAACTCGGAAGAGGGATTGACACCGGACGTGCTCGGCTTTGCTGGTATCGTCTATGAGGAGGTGCATGAGGACGAGAAGTATACGTTTGTGGAGAACGTCAAGGATCCGTTCAGTTGCACGGTTCTCCTGCGAGGGCCGAACAAGCATACAATCACGCAGATGAAGGACGCCGTGAGAGATGGACTGCGGGCGGTCAAAAACACAATCGAGGACGGCTGCGTGCTGCCAGGTGCTGGCGGGTTTGAGATTGCAGCGTACCGGCACCTTAGGCAGTATGCTGAGTCATCTGTGACCGGGAAGACCAAGCTGGGCGTTGTGGCGTTCGCTGAGGCCCTGCAAGTGGTGCCCAAGACGCTCGCGGAGACGAGCGGTCACGACGCGCTGGACTCGATCATCAAATTGGAAGAGGGGTGCGCAAAGGGAGACGTGGTTGGACTGGACCTCGCCACGGGTGAGCCGCTTGATCCTAAGGCCAGCGGTATCTATGATAATTATATAGTGAAGCGACAGATGGTCGCACTCGCTGGTGTTATTAGTACGCAGCTGCTACTCGTTGATGAAATTCTCAGGGCTGGAAGAGACGCGTCGCGTTGAGTAGTAGCCGTAAGATAGGCGGACTGATTTTGTGTTTGTAAAGGCGGGAGTCGCCTCAACTCGCGGCCTGAGTAAAACGTGCGTTGGCTTGCATCGGTGTACAATCTCAGTTTACGACGTTGACGCCGTTTTCGAGGCGGTAATCATTTGAGAGAAACTATTCCGCCTTGAGAAGGTGTAATCGACAACCACTTCCTAACCATTAGCAAGGGAGAGGCTCTGTAGCGGTTCATGACGATATCAAAACAGGTATCCTTACGTAATGTTATTAGACACCCCTCTACACGTGGAGCCGGCTCAAAATTCTGGTCTAGAGAGGCGCTATGTGGATTACAGGTGTGATATTGAACCAATCTAAAAACCGCTGAACGGCGGGGGATCTATTCATTGTATTGTAAAGTTTACGCACCGTATGACCGTACTCTCCGTTAGGAACGGCCCTCAGCCTCCGTTAGGAACGGTCAGCAGTGCTGAGTCAGCACCGCCCGGACTCGGCCACCAACGTAAATTAGCCCCGTCGGTTCGTGTAGCTCGGCCTGGACGCCGGAACCGCTACGTTTTCCCTTGTACAAGCCAACCTGCCAGTCGAAATGCAAGCCAGCAACCCTCCGTCTGCGCCTGCCACCGTCGCGCTCCGAGCCCTCCCCAATTCTCCACCCAATCGCCCACCGCGAGCTGCCCCAGGGAGCCCGTCTCCCGCCGTCGCGCAAGCCCAACCCAGCCCTCGGGGCATGCCAGCCGCGCCCGCGCCCGGGCGCCGATCTGGGCGCGCCTTCCGCAAGAACGCGCCTCCCTCCAAGCGTGCGCCCCCCCAGCCGCCGCCGGCCCCCGTGCCACCGCCGCCGCGCGCGTATCCGCTTGACGCCGCCGAGGCGCGCGCCCCGACGCCGCCCTTGACGCACCGCCTGTCGGAGGCCACGCTGCGCCACCTCATGGACGCCGGGCTGGCGTACCGCTTCTGCGCCGCGCCGCCGGCCCCGCGCCGCGCGCAACGCGCGCTCGGCGGCGCAGCTGGCGCTGCGCGTGCACCAAGGCGGCGTGCGGTACGGGGAGGAGGGCGGCGGCAGCAGCAGCAGCGGCGGCGGCGGCGGCGGCGGCGGCGGCGGCGGCGGCGGCGAGGGCTGGGTGCCGGAGAGGGGCTCCATTCTACAAGTGATGGAGTACTGCGACCGCACCGTGGGCCGGTTGCAGGAGGGCCGGTCGCTCGCGCAGACGGTCGCCGCGGACGTTGCGGGAAACGCGAAGGAGCTCCTGTCCACGCTCGAGAGGCGCATGCTGCAGGCGTGGGAGAGCGGCGTGCGGCTGCCGGCGGAGGACTGGGAAGGGATGGTCGGGAGGGGGGGCCTGGCGGAGCGGGCGGCCGTGTGGAGGGCGAGGGCCAGGTGCCTGAACGAGATTTACCATACGGAGGCCGTGGACGAGGCCAGGGCGCGGGTGTGGTGGGACCGGCGCGCGGCGTGGCGGCCGCTGGTTCGGGCGGTGCAGAAGCGGAGGGATATGCGGTACGTCGCGGACGCGACGGCGTGCAGGGCCGTGTACGGCGGGTTGCGCAGGCACTCGGCGCGGTCCATGGCATATCTGGACGGCAAGAATGAGGACTTGGACCGGTGCGTGAACGTGTTCGAGCGCAGGTTAGCCGAGGTGAGTGACGCCATGGAGAAGGCGGACACGACCCCCCAGAGCCCCGCGCGGAAGAAACGCAGGCACGGGGGGGAGGCGCCGAATGGTGGACACTGAAAGAGACGAAGCGCCTGCCCGGCAGAGGCGCCGCAGGCCCGGGTGATCATAGAGGCAGCTACAGCTTCGTCTCAGCTCAAGGGGCTCAGAGTTTGGAATGTAGTATTCGGTGCAGAGCGGTTAGACTTGTGGACTTGGGGTCACGTGGATTTTGCAACACATCCTACCCCCGCGGATTGTTCTGCGGTTGAGATGGTTGCCCGGACCACATGTCAGTTAAAAGGCAAGGATGGGCCGTCGCGCTTTTTGTGGAATGGCACTATGATGATAGCATCGTTATCTCGAGCTGAGTACATTTAGTGCACACTCTCGAAATTGACGAGGTACCTAAACGTGCGAGGGCTAAAGGTTCCCTGCAGCGGCACAGCCTCGGTCCGTAAGAGCACCCCTATCGGTGCTGTGTATATGAAATGTTTTGCATACTGTATCCAGATACATATAGCCTCTTTCATCCCTATCGGACTGGTTATCTCCAAAAAATTGGCCTTTTTGGCTATACTGTATCTATCTCTATATTGGAAGCCGAATGGCGACAAATTTTCTCATTTGACCATATAGAGACGCGAATTACATGGCGCCACTTGGCCAAAAGACCATAGAACAGTGTCAATACAGTACCTCTCGTACTCGATGCCCCGCACCCCTCGTACACTATGCCCTATCAGGGCACTTCAATTTCAAATTTACTCCTAAACCGATAGTGTTGCGCACAGAAATGCTATATGCACAGGCAAAATTTTACACATTTAGCCACCAAATTTAGCCAAACCGATAGGGGTGCTCTAAGAGAATCCTTCCAAATCTTTCATTTCGTCTTGTGTAGCCGGCTATGCTGATGAAACTGCGTGCATGAATAGAGGGTTTACGCACCTGGATTTCGCTAATTCTAATTAAGCTTTTCAGAAATAGAACATGACAAATATTACACGTTGCGGATATTCTGTTGCTGTATGTGAGTATTGATTGTGAAATGTGATCAAATAGTGAAATCGTTTCTGTAACTCATCGCCCGCACAGCAGGCACACGTGGATATGAATTGGTGCGAATGGGGCACACCGCAACGCGTACTGCACCACGCCTACAGACTACTCGACAAAACAAGAAGCCGAACTCACACCACCTCTCCACTCATCACACAATCTCTTCCTCTTCCTATCCCTCTTCCCTTATGGCGCAAGTTAACCCGCCGTCGCCCATCCCTAATGACACCTCCAACTCGTCTCCGTCTCACGATTCTCCACCTACACCCCCCGTTGGAAATCAGCTTCATGCGGAAGTCAATCTCGCAGCCAAGGTCAAGGCTGGACGCAGACCTACGTTCACGCCTAACGATTACCTCATCATCGTCCGAGAGGTTAGCGCTGCACAGGCCGATATTGCCAAATATGGGGAGGTACAGATGAGCTTTGCCCAGGCCGCTGAGCGCGCGAATCAGAATCCTAACCTGAGCGCGAAGGAAACGTGCATGCGTCTACGAGATCGATTCAAGAAGCTCATCGACTCGTTTCAACGCAAGGACAACTGGGAGAGGCGAATGTCTGGGATTGGAGGAGAAGTCGGCGAGCTGGATGAGCTTCTGGGAGCAAAGTTCGAGGCACAGAAGGACTTAAAGAAGAACAAGGATGAGAGCAGAGTGGCTCAGGAAGAGAAGGAGCAGCGAAAGGAACAAGTCGGACGCGCCCATGTAGCGAAATCCTTAGCTCGAAAGCGATCTGGAAGTGCGAGCGGTAGTGGTGAAGACAACGGGGACAGTGAGGAGATGGGAGTCACTCGTGGAAAAGGAAGGGGGAAGCGCAGGAGAGTCGATGCTGAAAGGGACAGTGGTCTGTATGGCCTTGGCGAGTCCTTGAAAGAGTCCGATATGGCACGCATAGCCGTAGAGCGTGAGCGGCTGGCTTTGGACAGCGAAAGAATGGAAATGGAGCGTGCGGTGCGTGAGAAGGAGCGCGAAATGAGACGAAAGGAGCGCGCGGCGCACGACAAGCTTGAATTTGAGAAGTTCCGTCTCATGATGGAGACGTTCGGGGGAAGAAATAGGGTGGGGGCGCTCAGAAAAGGGCTGTGGGATAACTCCTCTCCGCTCTGGAATGGGTGAGAGGCGGAGGCTATAGCGAGGGAGCACGCGGCGTGGACGCGACGCGCTAATTGAACCGATCGGACGAGCTCGCGAAAAGGGAGTGGCTCACTGGCCGGTTACGTGCAGTCGCCCCGTGGTGCATGAACGGGAGCGACCGGTAACGGGTTAGAAGCCAGCGTGCGCGATATACAACCGAAACGGACGTATTTAGGCGCAAAAGGGACGGGAGCGAGCTTGCCCCAGTTTACTGGTGGGGACGGGTGTCAGGTCTTAACCCCTCAGAGGGACGCCTCGGACACCTGTCCCAGTATACAGTACCTGCCGCCTAGTGCGTACCAGGTACTGTACGCCATTAAAAAACTAGCGCCTCAATTCCTAATTACCGCGCGGACGCTGCAGCTACACGTGTGTACTACTGTACACACGCGCTGCTTAGAGACTGCCGCACGGATGCCACGTGTGCTAGCGTACACGCGTAATACCAACAGACTACCGCTTGGCCGACACGTGCACTACTGTACACGTACGCCAGATTACGACCGCTCGGCACGCGCGCGCGCTCGCTACACGTGGGCACAACCGCCCACGTGTATACCGTACACGGCCGACCGATGACCTCCGCGCGCTCGCGCCGGTCATTATACTACAAGGGCCATTTTACGTGTTGTGAAACTCTGAGGAGGCACCACAGGCCATTGCGGGTCTAAAGTGGCTCTGCCGGACCTGCGGGGCTTGGGGCCCTACGGTCCCGCAGGGTGAGGCGCCCCCTTGTTGAGGTACACGTCGAGGGTAGTGGGCAGGCATCGGAAGTATTGTGAGATAGTGTTGGGGTAGATACAGTTTCGCATATTAGTCAGCAGCATCGCTACCAAGCAAAGCGATGCAACCGGTGATTCCGCAATGCGCATTTTCCTCTTGAAGTCAACCGTTGTCCAATATAGCTTTATCTCCTTGAAAGCCCATTCAACTGTAACTCTCACCCTCGACATTGCCACATTCAGTGCCCTTTGCGACGGTATGAGGTTCGAACCCTGGTAAGGAACTTCTAGAAAAGGTCGGAGCCTGTAACCTGAGTCGCCGTAGAGGCAGTACTGAATTCCATTCACCATCATGACGTCTTCTAAATTTTTCTCTAATCCACTCTGCACATACAGCGTCCAGTCGTGTCTCCGACCTTCTAGCGGTCCAGGAGCGTGTAGAATGAGTCCATCAGGTGTCGTCACATCCTGATACTTTAAAGCGTGTTTGCCCTTATGGCCATTATATGCCACGTTCTGA